CTTACAGAACCTGGTATTCCCAAAGGGGGTCACCCATCTAGGTACTGACGAGACTCGACGTTGCTTAACTTCGGTGATCGTACGGGAACTCGACTCTCCAATTAACAATTTCGAGCCATTATCTATTACCCCACCCACACATCCAACCTTACAGAACCTGGTATGCCCAAGGGGTCACCCATCTAGGTATTGACCAGACTCGATGTAACTTACCTCTGGCGTTTCAGTATGATGTGACAATGAGCCAACTTTAACAAAATATTACTGTTAGGGGATGCTAATTGACTTCCCCTATAAAAGACGATAGCACAAATTTCAATCGAGTTACTTCCCTTGTCTGGTTGAGGAGCGTGGCTCTTCTGAATGAAGCTGACACGCACGTAGAATTCATAGTTACAATCCAAACAAATCCTTGCTGTTCCCAGACAGGAAACGAATATGCGTTATTTTATTGTGTGTTAAAATACACTTGTCTTTCATTTTCATTCGCTTTTTTTCCCATCCCAATACCCTGGGATATAACAATTACAATAAATGTAAATATGAATGCAGGTCATTATTTAAAGAATTAGGAAGGTACAAATGAAAAGATTCAATGCTGACAATGTCTTCCATTTCACTAAAGCAGGCGTTAAACACATGAGAGTGTTATCGCCTCTATCTTCCCTTCCTTTTTGTCTTTCGTTCTCTAAAAAAACAAACAGCGCCTTTGATATATATTTTCTTCCGTTTTGTGTTCATGGGACAGGCAAGCTATTACATGTCTATCGTCGCAATTACACGATAATGGTTTATTGTTTATATGAGGTTAATAGCAGGGAGTAACTTACGCGCTAACTAAGAAATAAGCAGAATTATAATATAATGTTTGTAAATTTGGCTACATTGCTTTTATTACCTTTTTTGGTGAGGAAGTGTGCCGTGCCGAGAACTTTTTAGCACCGCCTCTTAATGTAGAACTATTTAAAATATAATAAATAAGTAGGCTCTTATAAACATTCCATTGTTAATAAGTGCTTCAGCGTATAATTGAAATGGCATAAGTCTATATTAGATAGATAGATAGATAGATAGATTGAAAATTGCTTTGTCTATAATAAATCTCCTGCACTCTAAGCTACAGGTCAACAATTACCAATTGTGATACTCATCAACAGAATAGTGTCAATATCTTACAGTTACTCTGGCATAGTCATAAGAAATCATGTTAAGTTTGTTTACTGTAAACTGACTTGTTTCAGTGAAGCTGACTTCACTCACCATAGACAACGATACGCCATTGATATATTATTGTAGTGTATGGAACGTTCACAAACCCTTGTTCCAAAAATATTATATATATATATATATATATATATATATATATTAAATACGGAAGACAAGGAAGACTTAATTATTTTTATTTAATTTTTCCATTTTGTAGAAGTAAGGGAGTGCAGAAATTTTCTACAATAGTAATTTCCAAGGGTTTTTTTCTTTTTTGTTTTTCGTGCTGTTACCGGAAACAACTCGCTCTTAGAGAGAATCTGTATATTAAACACATCTCTCCTGCTATCAACCTCACCTTATTTAATAGTGGAAATGGAGTGTTAATTTTTTTTTTTTTTTAATAGAGGCTCACGCGAATTACAGCAGCGCTCAGCAGGCGAAGGCTCGGAATAAACGTTCCTATTCAAAACAACACAAAAATGAAATACAACTTAAACAGTCAAAACATGATAAACTAACCACACCAAAAACAATACACACACACACCTTGAAAATGGCTAAAGAAGTGGCCGAAGTGAGACAATGAAAATTATAGAAAATTTCTGTACTCCCTTACTCATACAGAACGTTAAACCGTAAGGATGCTGGAAAAACTAAATAAAAAAATTAATTAAATCTTCCTTATCTGGCGTATTTAATGAAATATGTTTAAAAAAAAATAATATATATATATATATATATATATATATATATATATATATATATATATATATATATATGATAAAATATAGTCTTAAGGTATGTTATATTTATGGGTAAGAGTGGTCAATATCAGGTATAGAGCGCGTATATTTATAAAAGTAGGCACTAAGGACAACACCGAGTGATGACAGTCTTTTTATTTTTAATCAGTTCACCCCACGTAAGGCGATAATACCGCTAAGACACAGTGAAAGAGTGAAAGAGAATGAAAAAGACTTTAAAACGAACCGAAAACCCAATCCTAAACAGGAAGAAAGGGATAAACCTCTACTCCTGTTCAAATGAACGGGGAGGAGTGTGAACAGGAGGATCATGCATTCAGAGTTGAGCCGTTAGAAGTATAGAAATGAAGTAAACTTTAGAAAAAAATGGAAACCCAATCCTAAACAGGAATCACGGGATATGCTTTTATTCCTTTTTAAAAGATCGTACGATAGACGAATTTATCTTCTATTAAATGTTTCATGCTTGAACAAAATCTACAGGCCATGAAGTTTGCTGTCCAACATGAAAGTCTAACATTTTCTTTTAGTTTTCAATTTTCGAATCAGGTTTTGTATGTTGGGATAAAAATTATGGCTAAACTGTACCACGATCATATTTTTTGAGCATGTTTTGCTCAAGTATTTTCGACTGCTTCAGTCATTATCATGAACCATAAGTTACCCCTATGGTAGACAAGATTTTATCATCTACATCCTGTCGTTTTCGACGTCACTTTGACCTGATTCCACGCCCAATTCCAATGATCTATAAATCAGGGTGTCTTGTCTACTATACTGACCACATAAGTTCTACCCAAAAGCGCTCAATAGATAACTAAATAACTAATATTGAATAAATTAAAAAAAGTAAAATCTGGTTAGCTGACTCAAACGTTTCGCATCGAAAAGCTCATCAGAGCCAGATGTTTGATAAATCTGTTGAACTTTTTATCACATTTAAAATTTATACAATTTCATTCGCTCAGAAAGGGTATAAATATGGAAACTGAGTCGGTTAACCTGATAACTTACTTGAACTTGTCGTAATTTATTGAATATATATATGTGTGTGTGTGTGTGAAAAGTATGTGTATATAAATATAAATATATATGTGTAATATATTATTATTCATATATTATATGCGCGGTACTTATTAGAAAGCGCTCAATATCAGAGATAGAGCTAACATATTTGGTTGGATAGATGTTTCACGCTTTTGTTATTGGCAGACAAACTCACGATATGACGATCGCAAAAGCGTGAAACCCAGTGTCACAAACTCACATCAATCAACCAAATATATATATATATATATATATATATATATATATATATATATATATATATATATATATATATATATATTTATTTACATTTTTCGGACTATATAATGTAAATAATGCAGGTAATCATAATACCTCAACTTAGAGATGTATATATATATATATATATATATATATATATATATATATATATATATATACGGGTTCTCTATTAAAGAAGGAAACTAAATTATGACACGATGTTTACACACAAAAGTACTTAATGTCTAATGTTGAAGCCACATTATATTCACTTTCGAGTAAAATAAAAAAATGAAAAACAATGAGTACTCCATATTTAAGGCCAGTACCAAACTGGACAGTGAAATCAAAACTCAGATGCGACAGTCTGTTCCAAATGATGGCCTAACGATTTTCAATATATATATATATATATATATATATATATATATATAATGTTTCATCAAAAATAAGTGATACGTTCTTAATTGTATTTTCTCATTTACGCAAACAAGAAATTTGGATTTAGTGCGCATATAAATTGACAAAATTATTTTATCAGCCAAGTGCTTTCAGCTAATCCATTAGCCATTTCAATAGTTTTATTACCACCTTTGTGAATGTTATGCAAGTACTACTCTAGACAGAAAGTTTCTGAAAGGTAGATATATTGAATTCTCGAATACAGCCAGAATGCGGTGGCCGTTATATATATATATATATATATATATATATATATATATATATATATATCAGAATAAAAGCTAAAGCTTAAATAAGCTCAAATAAACTGAGTGCTCAATGCCCAAAAAATTCCCCCTGATGATTGCCATTGCATCAAACTGAAACATGTGCTTTGCAGTCTGAACAGTATTGGTAATTAATTTACTATTGTTTAACCAGAACCATTTTAATAATAAATTTTTGGACTGTTGTTTAATTGCTATTGAAAGAAACTGTATAGTGATTTTACTGCCACCCTGTATGCACACGTTTGTGTGTTTGTGTGTGTGTGTGTGTGTGTGTGTGTGTGTGTGTGTGTGTGTGTGTGTGTATAAATATGTAATTTTTATATATATTATTTATATATTATATATGCGCGGTACTTATTGAAAAGCGCTCAATATCAGTGACAGAGCTAACATCAATCCTAAATATAAATATATATATATATATATATATATATATATATATATATATATATATATATATATAAAATGCTTAAAACCTGTTATTGGAGCGCTTCTTATCTGTTGGTCCACACAGTTTCATGGGACATTCTTCTTTTGTACGTCTATATACCCTCCTAGATTAACAAAACACACTCACCTATGCACAAACGCAAATACCAAACAATCTCAAATACGGGTAATATATTTAGGATTGGGCTTCATTTAGACATTATCTTTTCTTCAACCGGATGGTGTTCTGATGTGTAAATTCCTTGCAATTAGTGTCTTCACGATTTTCTACCTGTGCCGCTGCAATACACGTTTTATATAGAACCCTTTAAACACTTTTAGCGCAATGAGTTTCTGTTTCACGTTTTTGTTTTTTTTTGCTGACGTATATCGACGAAGAATAGAAGAATGTGGATACCACAGAGAATAAATGGCCTAATCTGGAAGGCCAGGTATTCGTCAGAACAGTAGGCGGACGTCAACATGAAGACAAGGCACGAATTAAAAAAAAAAAAAGTTAATTAACGCTCTTTGCCTTTAAACCTGTTCAGATGAGAATTTTTTACCTTATTGCTCATCCGATACAAAGCCCATGAGCCACTCAAGGCAGAAGGTTACTGATAAGAGTTTTATGGATGTAAGAACTGTAGATTATGACGATAAACAATAAGGAAAACGGTTGACTGAACATGAGGAGCTTAACAATCAAGGAAACATCCTCTTGAATGTCTATTCTAAAAAGCTCTTGATGAGAAACTCTCCGAATTGAATTTGCTTCTTCCTAGTGGAATACGAAAGGAATTAGGATGATACACTCCCGTATATATGACATGGTGGTTTTTAGCTGTAAAAGACTGAACTGGTGGAACCAAAAAATGTAACTCGTCAAAATATTTCCCTGGAAAGGAGTTGTAATTTAGGAAATAACTCATCACCTATATGGCCACTTAAACGCTTTTCAACTCTCTCAAGGCTGAAAAGCCAGGATTGGAACCAAATATGACAGCATTACTCCATTTTGGGGCTGATCTGATTTTTGTAATGACAGGGCATGAATGATAGAGTCAAGTGCATTTTGGAGCCGAGCATTTTTTCCAGCGTCTTTAGTGATGGGTCGTATATATGGGGTATTAGTGATGAGTCGTATATATGGGGTATTAGTGATGAGTCGTATATATGGGGTATTAGTGATGAGTCGTATATATGGGGTAAAATTGTAAAAGGTTCATAAAAAAGTATGACCATCGCCGATGACCAGTGAAATGACAGTCGTCTTTTTCGTACATCAGGATATGGTCAATCATAGCTCTCCACAACGTCCTAACATTTGTAACTATTAGCAATGTTTGTCTCTTCCCATCACTCTTGTACCATCCACTTACTTAAGCTCGTTAGTTATTTTTACTCAGTGTTCCCTCTCCCCCTTTTAATATGTCCTGTCAGTGTCAAATTTTCTAAGCCTCCTTGCCTCATTAGGTACCATAGAAATTCCAACTGTTTTCAATGTAGGTATAAACATCCTTTTTCTTTACATTTTATTTGAAACTTCCTCGTTACTCATACATAGTATCCACAGTATCCTTCTGTAGAAAAGTTTATGTTGGCTCATCTTTGTCCAGCATTTACTACTGTATAGGAGGGCCGATATTATCTAGCAGTTCAACATTCTTTTCTTTGCTTCTAATGAACTTTTCCTGTTTCTTAATACTTTGCTTAGCTTTTGAAGGCATCTTTTTATTCCAATACGCTTTAAAGTAAGGGATTTTAACTGTAAGCAGATCGACATTTTCATATTTTATGATATCTTCTGAGTGAGGCCTCTTTAAAAATGGTTCATCATTGTCTACGACACCTTTTATTTAAAAAAAATGCATTTTCCTGATTAGGTCAGATACACAGATAAAATCTTACCTGTCCGTATCCAAATGTGAAATTGGATTCTGTGGTTTCTCTGGCTTCATTGACAAATAGAAAAAGAAGAAAATACAATACTACGAGTAAATTCCATTCTATATTTGATATGCCACCTGCCCGCTTAAAAACTACTGCATTCTCTTTCGTTCACTTCACACTAATGCCCTTCGAAAAGGCAAGGATTTTCCACCAGTTATGTGTTAAATAGCAGGTCAGACTGGGTTCTCGTTGCCTTGAGATGACAACCGGTTCAGGAAAAGGAAAACTCTGCATTCAAAATCATCTTGGCGTGCCTTGTTCAATTCCAGCTCGATTTTGTTTCGTTCACTTCGAACTAATACCCTTGGAATAGGCATGAATTTCCACAATATTTGGCTTAAACTTAGGGCAGACCAGTCTAAGAGAAGAAAAACTCTGAATTTAAAATCAGCCTGAAGAGGGTTGGGTTCCGCCAGGCTATCTTGCCCCAGACATGTCACTACTGCTAAAGCTACAGTAAATGCAGTACCTCTACCCCTCGGGTGGGTTACGGGACTCTGATCGGATCTGATCAGATACTAACACCATAAGTATTAATATCGAGAACGACTTCAGATTTTGATTTTTGCTGTTCAATTATCGATTTCAACATCTATAAATTTGTTACAAAATTCTCAGCCATGTAAAAGAAACTCTATTTATCATCTTATAGGATTAAATACACATATTTAATTCAGATTGTACATGAGTTTAAAAAAATGTAGTGGGGCACGTTGGAGTATGGATAGCGGCTCGGATTGAGGAATCGGAGAGCCGAGTTCAAATTCCAGTCGAATCCATTACATTCACTTACGCGCTAATAGCCTTGTAAAAGGTATGAATCCGCTTCTCCCCCACCCCAAGCTATGGGTAAATAGCAGAACATGGCACTGGATTTAAAATTCATGAAATGTTTGAATGATTCTAAGCCTTAAAGATTACACGCTTCAGATTAACTGTTTCAAACTATTCAGCGATTTTATACACTTTCGCCGGCCAAAATCAGTTTTATAAATGAATAAATAAGTTTTATCCAGCTTCATTTTTTTTTAATCAGCTTAAAATAAAATATACTGAAGGGTTGACTATAAACCAGAGGCTCTATTTCGGAGAACCCCTATTTTAAATTTTGGACTGCCCACTTGCAGAAAAAAATAAAGAAACAGACTTGTACATGAAACCATTTCAAACGTATGTCCTCTTTCTTTTATACTTGTACATTTTTTTCTCGGTAAACCTTCACATCAATCTAAATACCTATCCATCTATCTCATTGGCCAGAAACCTCACCTGTCCAGCATATTACATCGACAATTACATCAAAACACAGCCACCCGAGGCGGGAAACCGTACATGCGGCTAGCATCGACCGATTAAATCTATTCTCTTTTCATTAAACCAGGTGTCATTATGAGAAGCCAACACATTCTTCGGATTGTAACAACACGTAAGCTAATATACCATATCAGGTAGTGTGTCTAGTTCGAGCCAACTGGAGGCAGAGACTAAGGATGGAGGTGTGGCCAATAAAGTGATAATGATTGAATTAGCCGACTTGATCTACCCAGCCCTAACTGTTTCCATCTACAAAAATAGTTTACTGTGCATCTACGTTAGCAGCCTTAACTAGATCTGTCATACCATTTGTTTAAATACCTTATAATTCGTGTACACAAGCGCCCATGTACAGGTGCGTACATTTACCAGTGCTTATTTGTGCAATTGATCGTTGTTTATGTATATTTGCAGGCTGACTATATAATAATCAAATTGATTTCTAATACAATGACTGTATAAATAGGAAAATTCTTTAACACTAACAATGATGGAACAAAAGCAACATCAATAGATGCATACGAAGCGAATGAGATTGACAACAAACAGACTAAAACTAATAGATAGATAGATAGATAGATAGATAGATAGATAGATAGATAGATAGATAAGAATGGAAGAGAATAATATAAAAAGGAATCAATGAAAAAATAAATAAAACAAAAGGCAAAAGAAGAAAAAGGTGGAAAACTTTGAAAATAAAGAACTTATATTCACAGTTTTTTCAACTTTTTTCTATCTATCTCTTCATTACCTCATATGTATATTTGCTTTAGTCTGTTATCAATCTCATATGCAGAAAAATTAAAGAAATTAATGGATCGCTAGAAAAAAAGAAAGAAAGAAAGAATCATTTCAAATGAAAGATGGGAAAACGTATGAAATGAATGGTAGAAAGAAAGGACAGTAAGGAAGGAAGAATAAAAAATGATAGAGAAAATGCGTGAAATAATTGATTAAAAGAAAGAAAAAAATCACTGGAAATGAAAAAAATTGAAAATGTATTAAATGTTTGGTAGAATGGAAGAAGCAAAAATAAAGAAACAAAAAAAGAAGAAAGAAACACAGAATCATTGGTAATGAAAGAACAGAAAATTCATGAAATAATCGGTAGAAAGAAAGAAAGAAAGAAAGAAAGACTCATTTCAAATGAGAGAATGCAAAATGTAAGAAATCATTGATAGCAAGAAAGAAAGAAAAGAAGAAAAAATGTATTAAATAATTGGTAGAAAGAAAGAAACAAACAAACAAACAAACAAACAAAGAAACAAACATATGAGATAATTGAAAAGATGGAAGACCGTCACTAAGTAATTTCGAAAGAAATGAAAAGGAAAGAAATTAAGGATTATAAATGGCTGAAAAAGGCCGTAAGACAAATTACAGGAAAGGTAAAAGATAAAATGTTAGAAATAATTGCTAAAAAAAAAGAAAGAAAGAAAGAAGTTAACAAATCGCTGCAAAAGACGAAACAATCGCTGAAGAAAAAGACAAATGTATGAAATAATTGGTAAAAATAAAGAAAGCCATATTGGAAATGAAAGAAGAGAAAATGTATGAAACTATAGTAAGAAAGAAATGTGAATATTCTTTGTAAATTGAGGAGATAACTAAAATAGAAAGGTTAAAGGAAAAAGTAAAGTAAGTTTATGAATAATTAGAAGAGAAAGCAAGAAGTCATCCGTAGAAGAGAAGATAAAAATTAAAAAGAAAGAAGAAAACAAAGAAAAAAGACAAAATGTGACATATAATTAGTAGTAAGAATTAAGAAAGAAAGAAAGAAAGAAAGAAAGAAAGAAAGAAAGAAAGAAAGAAAAATTAAGAAAGAATGAAAAAACAAATGGAAGCAGGAAATAAATGTAAAGTTCAAAAAAAGAAAGAAGGAATGGAAAAGAAAAAGAAAAAAATGTAAAAAATGGCTGATAAAAAAGAAAGAAAGGCGTATTTTGATGAAAAAATACGTATGTAGAAATATATAGAAAGAAATGTGATAAATCGTTGAAAAGAAACAAACAAACATAGAACGGTGAGGAATCAATAATAAAAAGCCAATAAAAAAAGAAAAGACCGGTATACTATCAATGATAAAAAAAAAAAAACAGCGAAGAATGGGGGAGTTAAATGTAAAAAAAAAAAAAAGTGCATCTGCCCAAATGTGGGAAAAAGAGTCTTCTGATTTGAATGTCTCGAATCTCCACAGAAATCCGGCCCGTTCTGGCCTACGCCGGACTGATTCACATTGCCCCGGGGTGGGGATAATTTGGGTGGAGGGTAGCTACGTTCCAGCCCCCACAGCATGTAAATGCCATTTTA